TCAGAAAGGAACTCATATTAGTAGTGATGTTGAAGAAAAAGCTGATTTAAAAATCAAGACATTGTTTTGCAGAAATTTATGTTTGAGAACAAAAGGTATGGTGCTAAGATGAATAAATGAAAACTATTAACTATAGTGTTTAAGGTTCTAAATAGTTTTCAAAGTATTGTATTTTTAAAAGATTTATAAAGAAAGTTCTGCTAACAAGAGAAGAGAGTTTAGTATTGGCTGTAAGAGATTTATGAAAATAATTTTTTTATATTTTTCAATTATTTTCAAGAAAATTAAAGGTAAATGCATCTTTCAGGGAAAAATAATCTCTTTATATAAAGCTGTAAGAAAAAATAGAAAGAATTTTTTTAAACCAGATTATATGGTGATATTTTATTTGTGCTGAAATGTGAATTTATTTGTATGTTAATAAATAAAGTTACCTGGGAGTCAGAGCTAATAGCAAGCCATAGCAGAAGTCTGGCAGTGGTAGCACATGCCCTTAATCCTGATCACATGACAGGCAGCTCTCTGTCTGTTCAAGGACACCACCAGCATGGAGACACACGCTTTTAATCTCAATACCAACCATAGAGACCTGGAGGTCTTTATAGATAGGCAGTGACAAGGAGGTCATGTGATTGGGTTTACAACCAATGAGAAGGCAGAACAGAAAGTCAATAAAATGACAGATACACAGAAAGTAGGTCTCTTTCTCAAGAGGAAGGAGGGCAGTGGCAGCGAGGGGTAAGAAGGCAGTTTTAGTCTCAGCTCTTAGCTACTGCTCTGACCTCTTGGGCTTTTAACTCTGCATCTGGCTCTGTGTTTCTTATTTAGTAAGACCATTACATCTACAAGATTAGTTACTGTGAAAAATATTATAATGGAGATAAAGATTAAATGGGATGGTCAAGAATGCTTTCCTAAGGTGAGATCTGGATTGAGATCTGAAGGAAGCAGCATTGTAATGATTAGGCGCAGAGGAAGAAAATTCCAGACACACAGAGTAAGAGCAAATGTCCTCATATGTCTGAGAAGTATCAAGAGGACCTGTGGGTGGACAGAAGAGCACTGCAGGGTGGCAGCTAGGGAAATCGTGCTTTGGTAATAAAACTAATGGATTGAAAATCTTTTTTATTCCTGTTTTAGGCATCGATCCCAGAATCCAGAGCCTGTGCTTATGAGCAAGACCTCTACCACTAGCCTATATTCCCAACCCTAGAATTTTATTGTAAGAGCATAAAAAGTCATCAATGAATTTTAAGCAGATGATATATAAGATTTCTTTCATGTTTTCATGAGTTCACATTGGCTTCTTGGTTTAAAAAAAATAGAATGCCTAAAAGACAGGAGACTAAATGAAGAAGTCAAGATGGTTTTTAATGAGTTTGAATGGCAGAGATAGAAAGATGAATACTAAAACATATTTGGTGAGAGGACCGGCAGGATTTCCTGATGCATTAGACATAGAGTTAAAAGAAAGGAGAGATTCAAAGACAGTGAGAAATGGCTACATTGTGCTACCATCTCTCCTGGTTGATGCCCAACAACTTGTAGATCAATCTAAATCACTTAGGAGCAAAACCTGCCCCGGAAAACTAAATTGCCAGGCCTCTTCCTTGCTCATGTTTGACCAGTGACTCTGTCCCAGTTGGTATATTATACCAGCAGGATTGCTTTCTTCCTTCATCTCAAATATTGAGTGAAAGAGTATGAGATTCTCTCTCACCTTTCCATGCTCTCGATTAGTTAAAGAATGTCCACTTCCAGGCAGAAGGAAAAGCCCTAAGAGAGAAAACTGTACAAAAAAAAAAAGTCTCCTTTCCATTCTTCTCTTCTTCCTGTAACTCCTATGAGGTCAAAAACACTTGAGAAATTTGCATGAGTTTCACATAACGTCCATCTGAAAAAGATACCTTTATCTGCACTACATCTCGTTGGCTAGAACTTACCCTTTCATACCCCTGTAATTATAAGGGGGCCGGCAAGGTAAAAGAGTAAATGCAATGTTTGATCTGTGTCTATCACTGAACATGATTCACACACCCAGCCACCTGCTGCACCTAATTTCAGCTTTCTTTTGCAAGGTGGCTTTTAAGTTCAAGATAAATATTATCCTAGGATAAAAGCAGCTCTACTGTTTGTGGTTGTAAATGAATATTGCAATATCATTATAAATCTTTGTGAGTTTGAGATCGTTATGAGTATATCTTTAATAAAGAGTTTGTATAGGATGAGAAAACACCTAGACTTTCGCTTCTTAAGAGTAAAGTACAAATAACTAGAAAGGTGAAGTTTTTAAAAAATCCAAAAATGACTGCAGCTAAGTTTCTCTATGTGTTGATACTGGCTGGCCAACTTCCATTGACAGGTGTCCAATTATAAAATCCCTATTGTACCACAGAGTCTTGGCTAACAGATGTCCTGCAACTTTAAATAGTATTAACAGAAGGTAATTAGAACTCACTGTAAAATGTCCTTTCAAATGTGTCACTGTCTTTGGGAAATGTAAGGAGGTAGCACCATCTGGTGGTATAATTTTAGACATTTGTTAAGATTGGTATTATCATCGATGAAATTTTTTTCCAAATAAGAACTTTCAGAGAACTTGGATTTGAGACTTGAGAGACAAAAACCCTCTTTTCAAGAAATAGGATAAATAGAAGGTTGAGAACTTTTTGACGTGTCACTTCTGAAGGATAACTACTCAAATGAAACCCGGGTTAATTAAAATAGGCTCTGGCAATGGTGTGATGTTTATTCATAATTGCTAATCATTCTCATCAAACAACCAAGTGCCCTCATTTTTAAAAAAGTTTCCTTTCAGGCCAAAGTCCTTAGGTCTTTGTGAATCCGAGTCACTGAGCATCATTAGGAAATGGCCAGCAGGGGGCCCTTCACACCTATGGGATAGTCTGCTGTTGGTTTTGTTGTCGGTTTTTTGTTGGCTTGTTTTGTTTTTATTCGTCAGCAATAGAAATGAGTGGCTGCATATTTTGACAAAGACAATGAAGACAATGTCTCAGAACCTCATTCCTTCAGCAGACATTTTTCTTGAAAGTGTAACCTTGCTTTGAGAAATTAATCTTGGGATATTAATTGATCATTGTTGAGAAATTAACTTAGAGCAGATATGTTAATTACTTAACTATCAGCCACCCACCCCCTCAGGTGCCCTCCCTCCTTCCTGAAGCAACCATTCTTCAGCTTTCTGTCTTTGTAGATTTTCAAACATTAAAAACCTTGACTGGAAGGTGGTGGTGGTGCACGCCATTAATCCCAGCACTCGGGAGGCAGAGCCAGGCGGATCTCTGTGTGTTCGAGGCCAGGTGGATCTACAGAAAAAAACTTTGCATGAGTAGAAATCCATTTGTATGAATGGAATCACGAATAAAGGGGGTCATCTGTGACTAGAAGTTTTAATTTAACACAGTGTTTTCAGGATCATTCATATTATAGTACGAATGCAAGCTCATTCCTTTTTGTGGTTAATTACTGTTTACTTAGATGTTGTCTTGTCTTATCCCAGGCTGTCCTCATTTCTGATCTGCTTCAGACTACCATATGCCAGAGTTAATAAAGTTTAACCTCATTGTGCCCAGCTCTAAGGACTGACTTTTCACTAGTCAAGCAAGTATGGACTCGAAGTCTTGATATTTAAGACTTAACTGTATCTATGAAAACACCGTGGCAAATAAAACTTATGGCAAGATGAATTGCATATAATTAAATTCCAAAAGTAGTTTACAGAAGAAACACACAGGTACTTTACCCAAATGCACACTGATAAGAAAAGACAGACCTAATAATTAAAACTTTTATTCTGTTCCTAATAATGGTGATAAAGGGCACATAAACTGGGCAGTTGCTGTATGCTATGTGGTTTACCTGGGCAATAATGCGATTTATGTAAAAATTTTCAGCATTTTTTTTCCTGTTGTGCTTTTATCAGTTAAAGAATGAGGTCAAGGTTCCATGGTCCGTATTTCCAGAAAAAGGATTAGAAGGAGTCATTTCAAAGCCATCACCCAATTTAAAAATTAAACTGGATTATATATAAAAAGAGAATAAAAATGAAGTTTGGGGTAAGTGGCCAAACCATGGAGTTGATTCCATGGATGGGAATATAAGGAGAATGTGACTTGGTTATGTAGCAATTTCTTTGGAATTTAAACATTCAATCCTTAAGACTCAAGAAGTAAGCAAAGTTTCAGGGTCCAGGAAGAAAGCAATTTATAAGTCTCAAGAAGTTCCTAAAATTTGCCTGATTCACAGACTTTCTCCTCAAGGTTTCATGAGCAGTACAGACTGCTTCTGAAGAGTGGAGGCTCCAATCTGTTAAAGTATCTGGAAGTCATACAGGGAGCTCTAGAAATGCAACTTTCACGAATAGTTCTCTAGCTGGTGTGAGCTTTTCAGTGCCTCTTCCTCTGAGTTACCCATGGCCCTGTAAGTAACTCCTTATCCACTCTGTAAGTGACCCCACCAAAATCATTGCTTGCCACAGTAGAATAGTTTGTTTGGTCTGTCTTTAGTTCCCTGTCTGGGGTAAGTTCATATTTTCTCACATCTCTCCCAGAAACTTACACTACACAGCAGGGTTTCTTCAGATACTTAAACTCAGCATTTTAGGGCCATTAAATTCTAGTATGGGAAGGAATGTATGAATAAGGATGAGAATTGGCCATTAATGGTTATGTCCTAAGCATCTCGCAGAAAATAATTGTGAGTAAGCAGTCAACAGAAAAAGATATTTTGAGTGGACATCATGATAACCATCCCATGGAAGCGAACTCCAATATCTAAAACAAAAGCAGAATTCAAGCAGTAATGAGCATTTAAAAGAATAAGCCACCACCCATATTTATAAAAGATGGGTACCAAGGAAGCCAAGGGAAACATCTGTGGATCAAAGTTTATACTCTCCCATTTCTTAAGATGGTATAAGCCTACAGAGTTCATAAACTTCAAAAAAGTTAGCTGCCATTAGTAACTGATGTTGGACTTACCATTGAGATTGATGCATTGTAATTGAAAATGGCTTCCTTTAGAAAATGAAGACACATAAAACCCTTTCATCTTGAATGCCAAGTCGTTCTTCATACCTTTATATACACAGTAACTCAGTCATATCACACATTATCAAAGTTCTATTATCTCCTTTTCACAGAAAATGAAATTAGCCCTTAAAGTTGAGCTACTCTGCATCTGCTTCCATCAGTCACTGGATGACAGTTCTATCATGACAGGGTGTTCGGCCATCCGATCACCAGAGTGGGTCAGCTCAGGCACTCTCTTGATCATTGCCAGTGGAGCTCCAGGAGTCCAATTAGCGAGAGAGAGGAGGGATTCTATGAGCAAGAGATATGGAGACCATGATTGGAAAAAGCACAGGGACAAATAGCCAAACTAGTGGAAGAACATGAACTGTGAACCAATGGCGGAGGAACCCCCATGGAACTGGACCAGGCCCTCTGGATAAGTGAGACCGTTGATTAGCTTGAACTGTTTAGGAGGGCCCCAGGCAGTGGAACCGGGACCTGTCCTTTGTGCATGAGCTGGCTTTTTGGAGACTGGGGCCTATGCTGAGACACTTTGCTTAGCCTTGGTCTAGGGAGGAGGGGCCTGGACCTGCCACAACTGAATCTACCAGGCTGGGCTGACTCCCCAGGGGAGACCTTGCCCTGGAGAAGGTGGGAATGGGGAGTGGATGGGGGGGGAGAGGCTAGGGGGATGGGAGGAGGGAGAACAGGGCAATCTGTGGCTAATATGTAAAATTAAATTAATTATAAAATAAAAATATTTTTTTTTAAAGTTGAGCTACTCACTTATGTTCACCTAAGTCATAAGCCTTTCTAAATATGAACAATTTAGGACTTTCTGAGTTGTCAGTATCATGAAAAACAACACATCCACACATCTTGAAAACCAATTCAAAGCCAGGAAGCAGTGGCACACATCTTTAATCACAGTACTCAGGAGGCAGAAGCAGACAGATCTCTGTGAGTTCAAGGCCAGCCTGGTCTACAGAGCAAGTCCAGGGCATCCAGAGATACACAGAGAAATCCTGTCTCAAAAAAAAAAAAAAAAAAACCTAATTCAAAAAGTCTGTTAGATAAGCAGATGGTGACCTAACAAAAACAGAACATATAATAGAATCTATTCTTGAAAATAAACACATTGATATTCAATTATATGTATAATACAATAATGTTTTTCATAAATAAACATCCCTTCAAATTAGTTGGATCTAGTACATGTGTAAACAAATGTATCATGAAGGACGTTACAAGAAATGATTAAATACAATAAATGCTGCGGAGATTTAGGATTCAAGAGTGAAGGAGCAACAGCAAGGTGACTGGGTGCCCTATCGGAAGATACCAGTTCTGATTCTGTTTCCACCTGTGCCCCTCCAGCTCCAAACCTTCAAGATCCCCAGTTTCTCTGTGCTTTAAATTACTCACTTAAATACCATTGATAGTCATACATCCCTTTCCTTAACGTTATATATCCATAAGTGCTTATGAAACATAATGAACTGCCTAAATACTTAAAAAATGGCTATTTCCTCCTCCTCTCAGATGCCCTGTTCATAATTCATGACACTTACAAATATATTTATATGTATAAATACGTATATAGTATATATATATATATATATATGTTTATATATGTGGTTCTGATTTCTAGAGAACTATAATACAACAGTTGTTCTAAAGAAATAATTTAGATTAATAAAAAAATATAGAAAGCTATCAAAGAGACTTCAGGATTATTCTCTATATTTTTTGTTTGTTAATTTTTGAATATTTAAAAAACAGGAAATAATAGAGTATATGTTTTGTAATGACAGCTTCCATTATCTCAGTGAAAAATGCACATTTAAAGCACCTATGTGGGCAATATGATGTTGTTTACCATCGTTGGAGTAAATGATTTTCATGTTGCAGTCTGTTTGTTTAAGGTGTTCCTTAAACCACAATACCTTCCCTCCTAGTCACCCTCTTGTCCAAATAATGCTACAGTACACTCACTGAGGCACAGTTCAATGACCCTTCAAGACTAAAATGGCCAATTCCTCGATCTGAATATTGTCCCTTCCTTTTCTGGGCTATGTTCCTGTAATACTATTCATCACTTCCTGTCTCAAATTTCAATTATAGTTATTGTGTGTTTGTGTTATTCCCATTCATAGAAATAACAATCCCCTGGAGGGTGGTGTTTACTAATAAATCATAATTTTTACTGTAACCTGCTACAGCTCTTTGTTGAAGATGTCTACATAAATATGGGATGAATAAGTAAACTCCGGTGGTTCATTTAAGTCTCCTGCATTTTAGCTGTGCTCTTTAGTTGGTGCCCTAACACATCCCATACATAATTTCTATCAGTGTACTGTCATCTTTTATAGATGATGGTCTGTCAGGGAAGACAGAGTAGATCCTGGCAGGAAGAACTCAGTAGCACAGTAGACTTCGTCTATCTAAAAAAATGAGCTTGACTACTGGAATAAAACGATATTTTAAATGAGGGAATTTTATGAGTAGAGGTAGTTTTTGTTGTTGTTGTTGTTGTTTTTAACTACAGGCTTTGAAATGTACACAGGTGACTCCACACTAACCAGGGTACTTCCTAGTTCTCACACAAAATGTTCTTGATATTAATCAGTGATAGAAACTGACTGCTAAAAATGTAACAAAAGCAGAATATGAGATCTGTGTACCCACCAAACATTTAACTTCAATGATATTTCTGTGCCCTGAATGAACAGTGTGTACTTTTCATCTAAATTCAGAATATTTCACAATATGTGACACAAAAAGATTGAACATCTTCTCGGGGTAAAAAGCAGAACCCAGATCTATTTTAGACCTCAGAATTTTGAAGTTGCAATTTAATGTTTGCCTTGTACATCTGGGGGGAAACACATTAAAAAGTTATAAGCGGAGAACAGATGTGTTCTTGAGCCTAGTTCAACTAATTACATATTTTAAGTAACCTAAAAATTCTTATGTTAGAGAAGAAAATAGTAATAATAACTCACTGTTCATTCAGTTCTTTGAGTCATTATGTACTGGTAAATGGGGTGTCGTGTGTTAAGTGTTGAGGACTTATTTATGAAGAAACGCACCTCCCAGCTCAAGATTGTCTGTTGGGAGTGGACACATAAGCCAATACAACTGTTAAGTCATCATCTTGCCCAGTTGCTATTTTGGTTTCTCCTGCCCTGCCGTTCCATCTCTTTTCCTACCTCTTATGTGAAAAGATGCAACCCATTGTCTTTCTGACAACTACTCTCCAGTTCAGCCTATCTGAAGTTTACATACGTCCTCATCTAGGAGTAGAAAGAAGTAATTGAATCAGGTAGGGTCTGACTTGTCCTAGAGGGGGATTTCCTGGGATTGTGAGGGGTGAGTCCTGTTCCCTCTCTGAGGTTTAAGTAGCTGGAGGCCTGGAGGTAGCAGAAAAGAGGAAGAAAGAATAAGGTCAAACAAGTCACGTATGAAAAAGCCATAAGGAAACTTGATATTGTGTAAACTAATTAAATCCAACCTAGCCGGGCGGTGGTGGCGCACGCCTTTAATCCCAGCACTCGGGAGGCAGAGCCAGGCGGATCTTTGTGAGTTCGAGGCCAGCCTGGGCTACCAAGTGAGCTCCAGGAAAGGCGCAAAGCTACACAGAGAAACCCTGTCTCGAAAAACCAAAAAAAAAAAAAAAAAAAAAAAAAAAAAAAAAAAAAAAAAAAAATCCAACCCATGGCAAAATGATGGAAAGAAATGTATTAGTTACTCAATCCCAGTTGTGTTGGCTTTCTGATCCCAGAAGGGCCACAGGACTGAGCTGAGTGTCGGAATAAAGTAGCCAAGCTCCAAATAGGTTACATGAGAGTGAGCAGTTGGTATGTAGTAATTAGGAAACTAGAAAAAAAAAACCTCAAAAGTCCTTCCTCCATGATGGTATAGAATGCGCTGTGTTTCATTAATTAATTTTAGGTAAGTAGACCAAGGGATTCAGAACAAGATGTTTTGATATTTTGAAATAAAAGGATAATAATTTCTATTTCACTATTGCCTAATGCACCAAATTCATAACCCTTATACTTAGACTAGATACAGATCTGTAAATACAGATATACTTGTAATAAATACCAAAGTAGAGGAAGTATTGTGTGATAGAGTTTCTCACAAGAAAAAGTAGCTACCACATTTCCATAGTAAGGTGTATTTAGTCATGTTAGTATTTCCTAATTGGGACATGTCTTAACTAATGCTTGTGTTTAATAATCTATTAATTTTGTTTGGCTAGTATCTTAGAATCAGATAGCTTTATAATTAATTTTATTCCACTCTAGGAGGAAAAAGTAATATCTTAATAGAGCTGTAGGATTTTTAATTATGTGAAAAGTATCATGAACATAGTAAGACACTCAATGTGTGGAGGTGGATATTCATGAAAAAATTATAATGACTACAAGCAACCCTGGACATGGTTGGTAAGCACAATCTGGTATCTCTTTGAATCTAAGTGGTTGTTGAGAATTTAGGGGATATGCAAATCATAATAAAGATTTTAGCAGTTGAGAATGTAGCTAGCTCAGTCGGTAGAATACTTGATCATATCACATTGACCAGGCATATTGGTGCATGCCTGTAACCCACCTCTTTGGAATTAGAGGCAAAAGATCAGGTGTTCAAAGAAATCCTTGGCTACATAGAGATTTCTAGACCAGCTTAGGCTCTGGGCACTATCTAATGCAAAATAAAATGTTAGTAATTAAAGTCTGGCTTAGAAAATGCTGCCTTTTCTGTCTGACTCTTCTTCGTCAAGGTATGGTCAGTTTTGGGGTTGGAGGAATAGTACCACTTAGAAGCCTATTCCAAAATTAAATCTTTAAATTCTAGTATACTTCCCTTGCCTCAGTGTATGATTCCATACCTATGTACCTGTGAGCAGCATGAACTTGACTCAATGGATCTTTTTAAAAAGGATATGAAGTTGGAAGTGAGAAATGTTGGGGTAGGCAGGAGAAGTTAAGAGGGAGAGAAGAAGTATGGGTGGATAGTATCAAGATACAATATATCCATGTGTGGAAATCAAACAAAAAAAATAAAAATTAATCTAAAAAATTTTTTAAAGATGAGTCATGTTCCTATTAAGGACTATTATGGGCCAGTATTTTGGAATCTTGAGATTTGGACTATTTTATAAGTACTTGTATACAAACAGCTCAGAAAAGGTAAGTGATTCTTGCAAAGGACAGTTTTATTTTGTCTTTTTATTTCTACACAAGAATTTGACTCTTTCGGTAACAATGGACTGAAACTCTTCACTTTCTGGAGGAGAGCAGGTCAAACGCTGCGTATATAGACAACATATTTTCAGTATGATCTGTGGTGCAGCACTTTCGTAGGTCAGCATCCAGCACTCCATGCCCTACACTTTTGTCCAGTTCAGAGGTGAAGGATCTACAAGAAGTGAATGGGAAGCAGAGGTTTGGGAAAGAAATGAGACATCAGTGGGGAGCGCTTTATTGCTTCAATGAGATACTTTGGTGCATAATCTCTTGCAGTCATCATCCCCATTTTAAAGACGGAGAAGCTGAGACTGAGGAGTTTATACTCCTCAAGAAGTTAGTGGTCAAACACTAAATAAGCAGAAACTTGAGTGTCATTTCTCCGAATTATAACTTACACATTGCCCTCTATGCCATAAAACAGGCACCATGGCCATCTAATCCCAGTGAGAGGTTTTCAGTATATTCCAAGAAAACAACTCAGTTAATATTTAATAGATGGTTATGCCACAACAGCTAAAGCATAGGACAGAGTGAGAGTCAAACACCAACTGGTGTGGACTAGGGAGAACCATGGTTCCTTTCCTGAACTCAGGAAGTCTGCTATAAGTAACGGTCTTCTCATTGCCAATGGAGATCACAGCTCAGTATCTGACTTTATTCTAAAATAGTTACAGTAATAAGGGTGATGGCCACTTAACCCTGCCTTGCCACTGCCGGGTGTCCCACGTCCTGGAAGGTTTCTTGTTTTCCATCGAGTTGGCAACCATCATGAAAACTGGCAAGAGCAAATCAAAGCTCATTACAGAGTTAAGGTAAGCACATTTATTTTAGCAAAATACACCCAACAAAAGCCCTTTGGGATAAGCGTCACTAAATGAAGTTTCTGGAACTCTGTGGGGTTTTGGTTTTTGGTTTTGGTTTTTGTTTTTTTTTTTCCTTGCCACAAAGTAATTCCCCAGTAATCAGTTTTGAGTGCTGACGGGCTTCTTTTCTTGTCGGTTTCCTATTTCTGACCCCTCTCGTTCCCTTCTTTCGCAAAATAGAAATAAATATTCCAAAATAATCCTTTCCAAGGACTCTGTCAGCAGCTGTAAAACCTCTGACCTTCTGGTTTCCCCTGACCTGACCTCTGGTGAGGTCACTGTGAGGCTTGTGGCACAATTTCTAGTAGAGCAGAGCAGCTTCCCAGCTGGTGGGAAGTGTGGGGTTCTAGATGGGCCCCACAGCAAGGGTTTTAAACCCAGCTGTGATGTTGCCGCCAGCTGTGCTCGCTGCACTGGAGCCCTGACTGCCGTGAGGCTTAGGTCACTTTGAACTAGGGCATATGCTATGACAACTTATTTTCGTGAATAAAAATCTTCATAATAAAACTTTCCATAAATAAAAATAAAATTAAAAAACTGTTAAAAGATAAACTAGAAAAGCCTTTAAAATACCAGGAAAATTGTTTATTCTACTGATGAAAACCTAAAGGATATTCAAAGCCCAGAATTAAACTTTCATTTAGAAAAATATCATGTTGCTATTATGTATACACACACACACACACACACACACACACACACACACACACACACACACACTCCATAAAGTGACCGAGTACTTCCTGGAGGAAGGTCTTGCTAAAATAGTTTATGAGACTCCTGCTCCTTTTATTGAAAGGGTGTGTCCCAACGCTGTTGCTCAGGGTGGTGAGTCAGCACTTTATTTCTCAGGTGCGGGTTTACCACACCTAAGGAAGTTTCTCTTAAAGGTTTCACTGTCCCTTTGTGTTGTATCACAGTGAACTGACTGGTGTCTTACAGTACGAGTAGTTAAAACCAGAGGTCAGACTTTAGTCTCCTTAAATAATAGTCTTTGTATTTTAATCCCAGTTGTGTCTTTACACTTTCATTTCCCTGACTCCTTAACCTGTTCCCAGCAGCTGAGAACACGCCTTACACACACACTTAACTAGGATTGCTGCTCTGTGTAGTTCTCTTTGCAAAAATGCACACACCCTGGCATTTTAATTTTCTTTAAAGCTTTACTTGCCTAGCATCCCTTTAGGGAAATATTTTACAATGATCCTGGAGATAATTGAGCAATCTCATCTCTGTGCCTTGTTTCTGTATCTTAGAAGGTGAAATGTTATTTTTTTGTTTTATTCTGTGTCTCATCATTGAAAATTTTTGACTTTGTGTAATCACAAAGGTCACAATGTGCTGACTCAAGAGGCAGAGTTTTATTTCTTAGTCTCTGCCTCCTTGGACAGAGCTTTGATGTTCTCCTTAGCCTGAAAGGCCTCTCTTATCATCTGGATTTGGATTACTGCTCATGTGTTTAAAGCTAGGTCAGTATCAAAATGACTAGATCATGAGAGTGCTAATGTCATCAATGGATTAGTCCATTGATTTTATTGATAAATTCATAGCTGACTGGGCTACAGTGAGAAGGTAGGGCCTAGGTGAAGTAGATCACCGAGGTATTACTTTGAGGGGTACAAATTGTTCCAAGCCCACCTCCGTCTCTCTCTCCACTATCCACCATTAGGTAAACCAGCCTTGCTCCATCCTGTGTCCCCATTACGATGTTCTCTTTTACCTTGTTCCCCAAATTAATGGATCCGGGTGACTAAGGCCTGAGACCATAGTAACTGTGAGGCAAGCTTTCCTTCCTTTAAAGCCATTTATCTCAGGTATTTAGTAGTCACCATGATGCAAAGCTGACTGACACTGGCTCTTCACCATGTTGCTGGATTGTAGATGTCTGGAGCCTCCCCATGGCTAGCCAGGAGCTTCAACTGAAGGGTCCAGGAATATAGAGATGGAAAGTGACAGTCATAAGCTCTAAAGGTTAATTTCTAACAATGGCTGTCTGCTTTACAGCCAGCTCCTCTGTCAACAGCCAGGGGTGAACTTTTACACCACCACCCCCACTTTGCCCCTTAGAGCCAACAACTGCCTGGACCAAAGTTAACTTTTAATAGTTGTTTCTTCGTGACTTATAGTATGCACCTCATGCCTGATGTTTCTATGTGACTCCTAGCATGCACTCCATTCCTAATGCCTTCCGAACCCTTACTATAAAAAGTGGCTTATAACCCCCCTCCAACTGCCACAGCCTCAGAATCCCGAACCCAGGCTGTGGTCGAAGCTAGCTGATAAGCTTTTGTGCTCTGTGGTGAGTTTTTTATTTTTATTTTTTCTTTGGTTTTTTTTTTTCTGGAATAAAGTTTGCTTCTGGTTTAATAGACTTTGGTAGTCTGTCCCCCATTATTGAGAGACCCCGAACCCAACTCAACCTTCTTGCGTACCCCCAGCCTGTGGGTGTGTTCCATACAACATTAGACTCCTCTTGTTTGTGAGCACATTCCCATTCACCTTCAGGTACAAAGTGGTGGTAAATCTTAGCCCTGTGGTATTCTCTGACTAGTCTACGTCTTCCTCCCAGGCATGTCACCTTCACCCACCTCAGGGTTCTAACTGTACCCTTTTACTTACCTAAGCCTGCATGCTTGTCTTTCCAGAAGCTCTTTCCAGGATCAATTTCTCCAGCACAGAACCCAGAAGCAGACAGTCAGAGGCTTGCACGGATTTGGCCCGTCACTGACCAGATCTGCTGATAGAAGCTGAAACTGGTGATTTCATTAGCCCCCCGGGGATTCAAACAGATCCTTTCTTTTGCACTCCTGAGAGGAGCCTGAAGGCAAGGGTCTTCGGATGTCTGTGTTCTCATACCTGAGGGCGCAGCTGGGAAAGGCTTCTGTGTCCTCCCAGCACGTGCGCTATCAGTCTGTTCTACGAGTTCGTACTCTCCCACTCTGTAATCTGACAAGATCCAGAACTCCAACCATGAAAACAATCAACCAAAAAATAGGAAAACAACATTACACAGAGTAGTCAAACCGATCCACTTATTAATTCAAAGGCTGAGGATAAAAGTCATCTTTACTTATTTATTTAGTTATTTTACATTATTTATTATAACCCTCAGCTTGGTATATGTCTTAGTTAGGGTTTCTATTTCTATGACAACAAAGCACCAAGATGACCACTGCAACTCATATAAAGGAAGGAATTTAATTGGGGCTAGCTTTCAGTTCAGAGGTTTATTTAGTTCGTTGCAACCACAGCATGAAGCATGGCAGCATGCAGGCAGACACACTGCTGGAGAGGTAGCTGGGAGCTCTACATGCAGATCACCAGGCATCAGAAGAAGAGTAACTCTGGGCTTGACTAGGGCTTCCAAAACCTCAAAGCCAACCCTCAGTGACACACTTCCTCCAACAAGGCCCTGCCTACACCAACAAGGCCACACCTCCTAATACCACCGCTCCCTATGGGTCTATGGGGGCCATTTTCATTCAAACCACATATAAGAGGCAAAATTTGAATTTTTACTGAACTTAAATTGAATCTGAATTTCAGAGATATTCTCAGAGTTTGTGATCATGAATTTAGCGGGTAACTATTTATCTCATTGCCACAGCCTACAAAACATGAGAGAGGCTAATTACAGAAAGTGCATACAAACTCTTCTACACTAGAAAGCCATTAGCTAAAGAATGTTTAAAAAAAAATCTCTGAGTATCCTGCACTGCTTTAAGTGTGTTCTGTGGGATACTAATATTTATTGCATGAAAAGAGGAATTACACCAGGAAACAAGTTTAGGAAACATAGAATTAAACTAAGTTAAGTATGCCTAACACTTCTTTGATGCCGATACTTACACATTTCTAGGATGTGATGGAAGATGATTTGTTTCCCAACATTATTTAACAGTATATTTTCATCTAGGGGCTTCTTGTGAAGGATGTTCATATAATTTATTGCCCATGCTAGCACAAGTTTAAGAGAGAGGGAAAGCTGTTATGAATTATGCTAAAGCGACCGTTTTGGACTGCAACTATGCAAGGGAAACCAGGATGTGAGATAACTTCTGCTCTGACGGGATCTGTTTACTTTGGAATACACTGAGAAAAGCTACACTAAAGTAGTCTTTACAAAACTTATGCTAATCCATATCCAATATTTGTATTTGTGCTGATAATAACAGCAACGGGAGGGTCATAAAACCATCAAACATAATGATGTAATGATGTGCTTAAAAAAAAACTCAAGTGTACTCAACATTTCTATTGCTCTTTTCCTGAAACTGTTTAATTTAAATGATAAGATTATCCTGCTGGAGAGAAGAGCACACAGTGGAAATTCTCATTTAGCAGTTAAGATGATAATTAAAGAACACTGTCTTCTTGCCTGGAAGCCATCTCACTCAGAACATGGAGACAACAAGATCAACAACAGCTTCTTTCTCTTATATTTTGAGGATGGGCCACATGGTAAATGATTCCAACCATAGGATGGTAATAGTTTTCAGGTTTCTATGTGATGTGCAAAAGCTTCAGCGCAGAATCACCACTTAAAAGTAACCCAAGTTCCAAACTAGCCAGTTCCTCGAATCTCAGTGAGAGCCACGATTCAATAGTATGTGTTCAATAGACACCTTAACTTCTTTAAATAATGAGAGTTAATTCTAACAGTAGCTAATTCAGCATCCATGGTGTTGTTATGTCAATTTGAAACAACACAAAAAATTAATGAGCTATTTGAATATTCCTGTTCAGAAATACTTGTGATTCCTGGTGTGTGTTTTACACTTATAGCACATTGTAGTTCTGGCTGCCTGGCTCATGGCCACTGTATTGAAAGAGAGTTCTAGATTCCTTTAATACTTTCTGCTAGCCGTTCAGATGATTTCATATGTTCTTATACAATAATCCCAAGAAATTTTTCCTTGTTTCTTAAAAAACACAGGTGGAAATAGTAGTGGCTGACATTTATTATTTTCCAAATGACAGTCCCCTCCCCTGTTTTATAAAATAGGAATGTAAGGCTTTAAAAAAATTAAACACTTGTCCTGGGCAAGTAACTATGCAACCAGACCAAGGCTGTGCAGTGGGTAAGAGCAAGAACGATGTATCTGGGGTCTTTGCTTCAAATCCTTGCTTGCTCAAATCCTCGGTGGAATTAATTTTTGGCAGCTTTTTTGTTGAATAAAAGCAACTGATTGCATCAATATAACAATACAGTAAACAAGCTAATGTAATGATCTGTCATAAAATTTATCACAAATGAGCTAAATCAATAACTTGCTTCATTAGTTTTGTATTTAATTTGCAAACTTCTATAAGATGTTCCCAAAGGCCAAATCAATAGATAATGAGTATTCATGCTTCAAAAAGTCAGCCAAGATAAATGAGTTTAAACTCTTTAGAAGATGATTGCATAAAATGCAAAACTCTATAATTAATACAGGCTTTAGGTGATTATGACACTTCAGGCAATTAAGATTGACATCACTAAAATACACTTTCTGAGAAAATGTCATAATGATATCTAATACATACTAATTTAAAATTTTAATTTAAAAAAGGCTTGTCTCCTTGGTCCATAGTATTAAACCGTTTAGTGATAAAACTTTAAAAAAAAATTTTACTTTAAAATTGCTCAAATATACTCAAAAGAATGATCACTATCAACCAATACTGTAGCTTCAAAATTAAGAGGAAAATGACATTTCACTTTTTACTGCTATTTACCCCACCATGTTGTTTTAAAGAAAATTTAAGTTCTCTAATTACTAAATATCATATTCACCACCTGCCAAAATGAAAACAATGACCTAATCTATCCAAGTCCATAGTTCTGGTAAAGTCTATGAATGTACTAACCATATTTTTTTGCTTCTATAGTTCCATTTCTGGCTAACGATTTTTGTTAAGTGAGGTACGTCAGCTCAGAACATGGTTTTTGTACTTAAAACTCACCTGAGAAAGGCAGGTGGTGATGTCTATGTGCTGAGTTTTATGGCATGACTGGTACTTCCATCATGGAGTCATGTGCTAAGGTCTGGGCCCCTGTTGCAATGGAAAAATCTCAAACCTATAAATGACAAAAGATTTGTCATTGGTTTAATTAGTGAATCTCACTCAGTCTCAATTCTTCCTCATTGCCACTGTCCCAAGATATTTCCAGGTTGTAAAAATGTCAGTATTAGCCCGGCGGTGGTGGTGCATACCTTTAATCCCAGCACTTGGGAGACAGAGCCAGGAAGATCTTTATGAGTTCGAGGCCAGCCTAGGCTACCAAGTGAGTTCCAGGAAAGGCGCAAAGCTACACAGAGAAACCCTGTCTTGAAAAACCAAAACCAAAAAAAAAAAAAAAAAAAAGTCAGTATTGGCAGGGAGGGGGAGACTGGGAGAAGGGAGGGGAAACTGCAGTCAGGATGTAAAATTAATTAATAATTAATTTAATTTAATTTTTAAAAATCTCTTTTTAAAATGTCAGCGTTGCATTAGACCTTATAAAGAAAGTTCTCAAATTGTTTTTGCAATCCTGGATCTGGAACTCAGGGCCTCATGAATGATAGCTGGTGCTCTACCGCAGAGCTACAGCCACAGCCCAAGACACCTTATTTATAAAGAGGCTCATTGGGTTGGGTTTATGTAGTTTATACCCACTAATGTTTACACACAAATTAATACTAAGGATTTTTTCAATTTTTATTTCATTTTTGAAATAATAATAGCTAGTTTAAATATGGAATCGAAAACCTTACATAAACCAGTTACAAATCAATAAAAATAAACAATATAATTATTGATAAATAGCTTAATTTTTAACAAAAGTGGCTGGCTTTGTCCTCTGATCTTCAGGCAAGCTTTATTTGTTAGAGCATATACAGAATATCACCACACACTTTTTCAAATATCTTTAATGTTTACTTAGTAAAATTTATTTGGAGTATCTACTGCACTTAATCTGCTAGAATATATTGTTTTGGCTTAAAAATGTGAAGCGGTAATTCAAGAAAACAATACAGGCTAAAAGTAGTGAAGCAAACTGAATGAGGAATTAGGTAGACAAAGGTTTTCTCTGTCGTTTGCTGATTAATTACAACAGAAAATGGTACAATTTTATGTGCAAAAGCCCCATGTACTTCACCTTCGCCAAATAGACATCCACAACAAGACACCCAGATATCATGCACTCCTGAGCTCTCCATGCTGAGATCACAGCATGAATTCTGCTCTTCTGTCAAAGGGCTCCTTACCTCCACCTTGTCACTAGGAAACTGACCTCAAAGGATATGTAAAACAGTTCTTCTAGAGGGCTGGAGAGAGAGCTCAGCAGTTAAGAGCACTGACTGATCTTCCAGAGGACCAGGGTTCAATTCCCAGCACCCACATGGTGGCTTACAACTGTCTGTAACTACAGTTCCAGGGGCCCAACACTCTTACACAGGCAAAACCACCAATGCACATAAAAAAAAGAAAGAAAGAAAGAAAGAAAGAAAGAAAGAAAGAAAGAAAGAAAGAAAGAAAGAAAGAAAGAAAGAAAAACAATTGTTCTAGACAGAAACATTAGTATCATGGAGGACAAAAGAAAAGGAAGACAGGAAACAGTTCTAGATTAAAGGAAGGAAAGTGAGACCTGGAAATTAGTTACCATGCAGGCTCCTGAAATAGACTTGGATGGTTAGTGAATTTTGAATATGTATTCTACAACAGATAATTACACTAAGTTAGCACTAAGTTTTGTGAATTTTGTCACTGTATTATAGTTTTATAAGAGAATATTCTTATTCTTAGTAAATGTTGATTTATTTTCAGGCAAAGAAGTATAATATCTATATCTATCTTTCAAATGGTTTACAAAAATATTAATATGAAAATACAATGATAGGAAAAAAGGAGGAGGGGGAGGAAAGGAGGTAAAGTAACGTTTTGTCAAAAGAAATTACCTGGTAATTTTCCTACAAAGTTTACAAGAATTTCTTGCAATTATTACAGTAAGTCTTCAGTAGAAATTTTACTTCAAGCCAGGTGTGGTAGCTCCTATCAGAAATCTTGCTACTTGGGAAGCTGATGCAGGGAGCGTGCCACGTGTAAGTTCCAGGCCAGCCTGGGCTACAAAATGAAAGCCTATAACATATATTTTATATATATATTACATTTGTATTTTAAAGAACCTGAAAATAATAATTGTTCATTTTAGTAATCAGCTAATACTTTTTTCCTTATAGAAGTAAGTAAAAACATTATTGACTAAATCTGTCCAATGCTTTTCTAAAATTTCCCATTTTAAAAATGTAAAACAAGGAGATGGAAATATGAGCCCAAGATAGAATGAACATAATTCTGTTATTCATTAGCACTTCTTCTGAACTAAAGTCGCTTCATAACAATGTAAATTTGGCTCACAGTCAAAGCTGAAATCTACCAGGTCCTAACAATCTTTTAAACACCTGGGGAAAAAATGAAAATTAGAAACATAGAACCTTTCATTAAGAAAATTTCAGCATTATCAAATCAGAGTTTTACATTAATGAATTAAAAAATAAAATAAGTGCATACAATTGATACCTACATAATGAGTATTGCTCAGCTTCATCCAATAGAAGTATATAACATAGGCCACATGTATAATTTATAATATTCTAACAGACACATGAAATAAACTAAAGATACATCTGAAGTAATTTATTAATATGTTCTACTTAAACTATTAAAAATATTATTTCAAAATTGAGTAGATAGAGAAATACAGAAACATTGCTATTTTACATGATTTTTGTGCTGTCTTAAAGTTCTGACTTCTATTTTATATTTAGTTCGCATGAAACATGAAACACGTCTCCAGTATTCAAAAAGCACATGTGGCCATTGCCTCTGGTTTTATACACAATAAGCATGTATAATGATGGTAAAAATTCTCCCATGAAATGGCACAATAGAAGTGTATGTCTTAGAAACTGGATCCATATAGCCTTTCACAAATCTCATCCAAATTCCCCATGGTCTCACCATCTTGTGGATACAAATGAGCTTTTGTTAAATAGTAACTGCTAAAATTTAATGAGCTCCTTCATATTTCATCAGAAATATACTTTCTGGGAATTTCTGTTGCAAAATTCCCCCTTACCCCAACTATACTTTCGAAGTTTCCTGTGGATCTTTTTGTGATGAAAACCAATCTTTCTCCCAGCCACGGTTGAAAAGTCCCTTGAAGGTATGCATTATCACTGACGAAAGTTATGCCTCCTGGACATCCTCAGGATCAGAAACGACACCACGTTTCACAGCTCTCCGCGCCATCCCTGTAATGTGTTTTGATCCAAAATGTAGGAAATGCCCCGTTCCCAAACCTCCTCTGCCATCCAGATGTGACCCCAAATGCCTCTCCCAGGGGCTCTGATTTCGTGCAAGATCAGGGAAGAGCTAGCATATCGTCCTCCATCACAATTGTTTCTGAATTTCAGGATCCTGTGGACTCGACCTCTCTGGTTGTAGCCCAAAACAAAGGTCTTCAAGCCACCTGTCCCACAAAAAAGCCGTCTTCCTAGGCATGCCCTGCCACTTTTCACAACAGGCCCAGTGGGCATGGGCTCTGGATCCTACTCGAGAGAAATTTGCTCATTCATGTTCACTGCCACTCTATTCACAATAGCTGTGGAATACCAATGAACAGTTAATGAAAACATGATACATATGCACAGTGGAATTTTACTCGGCTATAGGAAAAAAATGAAACTAAAAATTTCAGGACAGATGGATGGAATGGGGGTAATTTTACACTGAGTAAGGTAACCCAGGCACAGAAAAACAAATACCACTCGTTCTCTCATATGAGGGTCCCAGCTTCAAACCTTTAATTCTGTGTGTCAGTTCAGAGCACTGGTAGATGCCAGAAAAGTGGAGAGAGGCCATTGAGAGGGGAATGCTGTAGTGGAGGGCTAATAATAGAAGGTAGATAATAGAAAAGTGGAGATTGGTAATACCGGGGCGGGGAGCTTTACGTGAAAGGCAGTTGGGGAATCGGGAGACGAAGGGGTTGCAGGGAGGTAAACCTAGATGAAGGGGCATGAAAAGGCCGTGTGGAGCCTACTATCATGTAACCAACGTTAATAATATAATTCATAATACAAAAAATATTTTGAAGGGAAATAGCCTGCATGACTGGATGAAACTGCTTCAAGAAGCTGGAGGTTACTGAACAAAAACCCCGTGCCAAGAGTGGAATACCTCCCTATGGAGACGGCCAGCGGCGTCGGCGGAGCGTGGGTAGCATGGCAGAGCCGGTGCCATGCCATGGTGAAGCCGTGCCCTGAGTGGGTGTGGCCACCGAGCTGGGGCCCAACCCTGGCCGGCTACTCCTGCTTGTCATGCTCCGGCCTTTGGTGCTGGCCCCCAGCTCTGCATCCGGTTCGCCACTTCCCCTTCTCCGGTGAGGCCGTGCCCTAACACCTGTAGTTATTGGTTAGTAAGTCCCATAGACCCCCACAGCAAGACAACCTCTTGCCACTTCTCTTGGTCTCCCATCAGAACTAAATAAGACCTTACAGCTAAAAGTACCTTGGTTGCATGATAGAGAGAAATCAACCTGAACTGAGCGAGAAGCTTCTTCCTACTGGCTAGCTTTCATGTTCCAGAAAATACTAAGCAGGCTGCTGGGGAAGAAAGAGCATCTATGGTCTTACCCAGTTGTGAACCTGTGATCTTCAAGACCAGCCTTGCAGACAAGATGTACAACCGTGACATTAGTGCTAGGAGGAATTGCCAACTTTCTGACGAGATCTGAGGCTGGCTCGTAGGAGAGAATCCATCTATGTTACTAAAAACCTGGTCTAAATCCCATAGCAAGGGAGATCATAGGTGGAACTGAATACTGATGCTTAGCTGTACTGACATAGCATCAAGCTGCCTTCTATGTGTTTATAGTTATACCAACAGAAAAAAAAAATCTGTTTTCTGCCTTAATCAGGGCAGCCTTTCTTTCCAGGGAATAGTGAGGAGTGCAAAGGCTCATGGCTGTACAATTGTGCTGAGAAAAAGTGATGATGTTCTGCCCTAAACAAGACATTTGTACTAACTAGTCCCTCTAAGGTTCAAGAAACACTGCAGAAGAAGCATCAGAATGTTAGACCCAGAGGATAGGGAGAAAGGATGTGTAATGGCATCTTCTGGGCATCATAAACCCAGCAGCAGCAGATGCCTGCACTGGATCTGAGCAAGAGTGGGTCTGTTCATAGTCAGGACTAGAAAAAGCAGGGGCTCAGGGGGCCTAGCCCTCTCTGATGATTTCCACGGATAAACTCATTGAGAGAGGGAAGTATTATCTTCAATAGTGTGTCCACTGGTGACCTCACCAGTCTCCAGTGGGTAGTTCCAGTCCAATAGTCACATAAATGTCTCTGGTTAAACAGGATGGGCTGCAAAGGGACTGGTCAGAAGGACGATTGATTGGGATGGGAGGAAGATTTAAAAGCAGGGGAGTGACCAAAATGCATTACGTACCTGTTTAAAATTATCAAATAACAAACTAACTAAATAGGCCGAGTAGGGAATTATTCTCAACTTAAGATAACAAAGAATTCAGAGACACATGGCACTCTACCTTACTTTGGGTAGCAATTTTCTTGAAACATACAAAAATTGAAAACTTCTATATTGATACCTATGAAAATATTTTATGGGCTAATAAGTACTGCATATGCCTGGGGAAATGCTTCCAATTCAATTTCTTCGTTTTTCAAACAGATGTGGTGTCCTGGCCAAACTCAAGCTGCATTCAGTCTGATTGCATACAGCGGCAGACCTTCCAGCTGCTATTCTAGCAGGCTACCGTGACACTAGCTGTTTGCAAAGTTTGCTTATTTGCAGATTGATCTGGAAAAATATTTTTTAAGGTAAGGGGTTATTTTGGTTTCTCATTTTTATGGAGAGGAAAAAAAAACACCACAAAACAAAATCCAGAGATTTGAATAAAGGAAGCTAAATCTAAGCCTGTGCCACAGATTGGTTGCACTCAGAATTTTACAGAAAGAGCCTTGCACATTTTGTACTGTTGTAGATGTGGATGAGGAATAAAAACAAAACCATTGGTTACTCTGTATATTTACTTCTAAAATGTAGTAAGAACATTTTCTGGCATTTTAAAGAGATGTATAAGAGCTTCATTTTTGTTTGTCTATTTTTTTGGGGGGGAGGGGGGTTACATTTAGACAGGGATTCCTGTAAGCCAATATGAACTCATTATATGACTAAAGATAACCTTGAACTCCTGGTCATCCTCCCTCTATCTCCCAGATACTGTGATTATAGGTATGCACCACCACACCCAGCTTTATGCCAATGCTTTCTTAAATGAGCTGATGAATTGTTCTATCATTCTGTCATCATATCATTCAGGTACTTACTTAGCACCTACAGTGTACCAAGAAGGAAGCTAGACTCCAGGGATACATGCTTCCCTGCCCTCAAGTTGCTTATGGAGGGAACCAGGAACCAATAAGAGGCACCCTTTCAAACCTGTCCACTACAGAAGTGCACAAAGAAGAGAACTCTAACCCTGACGAAGCTTCCCGGAAGCAAGGCCACCTAAGAAAAGACATTAGGAAGACAAGCAATGCTGAGGTGAAGAGTCAGATGCAAAGGGCCTCAGAAGTCCCAGAAGGATAAAAACAAAACAAACAGGCAAACAAAAAAACCTGTTCAAAGAACTGAAGAGTTTGTGGGAGGAAGGAGACAGGTGATGGGTGTATGAGACAGATCAGGAAAAGCCTTGAGGAATGTCAAAGAACTGGGCTCCATCATGAAGGGGATGGAAGATACTAACGTATCCGTGACACAATCTGATTGGCATCTCAGAGAGTTCCTCTGACTGCAGAATTGAGTATGATTCAGAGGAACAGGAAAGATCCATTACTTAACAGCAGTATTATTTCAATAACAAAAGCTAGGCACCTGATCCAGATCGTGGTGATAAAAGCTCACTAGGGGAAAAAAAGGCAACTTGAGTAGGCCATGGTTACTGAGGTCCAGGCAAGGGCGCACCTGAACATAAAGCAAGAGCAAGGCCTGGCTTTGTGAGGGAGGGTGCCGTTCACCCTCCATTTACCACTGTCAGGTGGACGGGCACATACAATAGGTCTGAAGCAAATGTTTGGTAAATGGATGGATGAATGTGGATCTATTTCCTGAATGCCTGACAACTTTCACTTAAGCATGAGTGTGTAATGGTGTTTGCTCAAAAGTCTCTGCTTCTACCCAGTTGTGTGCTGAATTACTTGAACCCACTGAACTCCAGTATCCATTCTCAATTAGTCATTAGTCACCTTGTCATGATGCACGTTCCTCCTGAGCAGGGTTGCCACATGTCTGTGTCATTACATCCTGCTCACCTCATTCCTCGTGCCTTACCTACATTCTTCCCTCACCCAGAAACCCCTGACTCACTCTGTTTCCTCTCTTCCCAGACTGCCCTGCCTTGGTGCCATCTCTTCTAAAAAGCCTTTTGTGGGTTGCTTTGTTTTGTTTAGTTTCATGTAGGCCAGGCTGGTATTGAACTCACTCTGTAGCCAAGGATAATATTTGTTTATTTAAATATATCTCTATGATGGTGATTTGCAAATGCCAGCCCACAAACTGTTGATGATAAATTTTTCTTTTGCCCATGGTAAAATGAGATCAGTAAGAATGTATTAGGGTTTTTTTAAAAAATAAATAATTGTAAAAAATAAAGGTCTTATTTATGCAGTTCAAACAATTGGTGTTTGTTGTGTAATTGTGTAATTATATGCCTTTATTTAAAAAAAAAACACTTGTAGTTGGGCTGTACTGACACACATCTTTAATCACAGCACTTGGGAGGCAGAGGCCAGGAGGATCTCTGTGAGTTCAAGGCCAGCCTGGTCTACTGAGTTGAGCCAGGAGAGCCAGTACTACACAGAGAAACCCTGTCTCAAAACAAACAAACAAAAAAACCAACTTGTTATGTTGTTGTTTTTAAGACAGAGTCTTACTATGTAGCCTAGTCTGGATCCCCTGCATCAGCCTCTCAATACTGCATACACTATTAGCAAAGTCCTGTCTCTTCAATAACTATGTTATTTAAAGAAATAAAAGCATGCGGTGATGGTGCACACCTTTAATCCCAGCACTTGGGAGGCAGAGCCAGGTGGATCTCTGTTAGTTTGAGGCCAGTCTGGTCTACAGAGTGAGATCCAGGACAGGCACCAAAACTA